GTTTCAAGAGCTACGAGTGCCTGGAGCGAGAGGGTTTCCGACAACTGACCCGTCAACCACACGTAGAATTTTGTCGACCTGCACACCAACACTATCGAATCTACGTGGTGGGCAGTGAAGACGAGTTTGCGTTCATCCCACACCCAGAAGCAGCACTTTGCTGCCCACCTGGCGTAATAATAATTGGCACTAGAAGAACGCCGACACCAGATGCAAGTTTGTACGTTTCCTGAAGGAGATCTCCAAGGTTTACCCAGGACTGGACGCCTGAGAAGGTAGGTGATTTATATCTAATGCTACCCCCTACCCCTATCCAATACTCCTAACCCTACCCTTACTCCTAACCCTACCCTTACTCCTACCCATACCCTTAACCCTTAAATGTCTCTTCTACCCTGTTTCATAGTGGCCGCTCGTTCCAGCTGTAATATATGTTATTTATTGGAGGACTAATTGAGATGAGAATTTGGCTAGAAACCGAAGAAAACCTGGCAAACCAGCGCTAACGAAGAGCGGAAGTTGATAAATATGCGGGGTTAACAATGGCTGCGCCATGAGTAAATTCTACTAGTCCCCGAATCAGATCTTCAAATCGTTGAACAGAGCCTAAAACTGCGCAAACAATCATAATTTTGTCATGTCCAGGTAGTGTAACAGGGGCTTTCGGTCTCCCATAAGAAATGTGGTGACCAACAAGTACAATCTTGAATTAATATTGGTCGCTCGTTACGGAAGTCCTTGTCAAAAGTAAGCTAATTTGGTTGTCTACAAAGATGCTACGGCTATTTCACTTTTCGAATCGAGCCGAACTACACGGGTCGCCATTTTGTTTTGCCCGGAAGTTTTCGCAAGATCTATTCCTTCTCTCACTCTCTCTCTTTCTCGCACTCTCTTTCTGAATACAGTCTATCAGTGTGGACAATCAAATAGACAAAAACGATAAAAAATGACGTTAAAACACAAAAGTAAATTAATCTGGTCATCTGCAAAGATGCTACGCTATATTTAGCTTTTCGGATCGAGCCGAACTATGCGGGTCGCCATTTTGTTTTGCCCGAAAGTTCTCACGCTACTCCTCTCTCTCTCTCACTGCCCACAGACAAAATTGCATGCTTTCATTCATTACTTTCAACACAAGAGCGCTGGAATGTTTGTTCACTGTGAACGCTACACTGGTTCGCCTTTCACGGTGAAGGCACACCGGGTGAAAATAGAGGTGGCCATCTTCAGCTAGCAATGCCAATCGGGCTTTCCCGCGAGGCGAAAATTTGGTCCCCGTTTGCGGGCGATTTTGTGGACCCGGCCGAAGCGTAGGTGACTAACTTTGTCAACCTCGGTCTGGTATATTTCCGAACCAATCCGAATGAAACTCGACAACCAATCAGAAAATAGGGCAAACTAATGCTATGTGGACGTTGAAGTTCGTGCACATAAATTAACCTATACTTTTGGTGTCGGGAACACTTTCGTATCGTGTACACCGAAAACTATAAGGAGTTTGAATTTCAACGCCGAGGTGGTAATAGATCTATCTATCCTCTATAGTGTGCTCAAATTTGAACGTTCTGTGTCAAGTAGTTGTTTAGACCCGATCATTTATGCACGACTACCCCCCCTATCCAAAGCGGCTTCGCACGGAGACCAGCCATTTTCCCCTCACTCTCGCGGCAAATGTATGTGACCTACAAATCCCCGCATGACTATTCCGCGCCCGTTCATTGGTCACTTGAAATAGGGCAATGGCGGGCGCGCGCATTCGGTTGTTTTTCTCTCTATTCCCCTGTAACATCGCAATGGGGGTATTCCGGGGCGAGGTTATCTCGTCTTGGGGTGTTCGCGTCTCAACGGGGAAAAATAATTTTTAATTGTACGGCATGCTAGATTGAATTAACTTATTTTTTACGGTTGGCATGGTCTAAAGTCATCATAAAAAGATTTGCAATTATTTAGTCACGCTGCCGACATATATTCTTAAAGATCCCATGTTGTGATACGATGCTATAAATAAAATGGACTCATCCCGACACCCCTTTTTCGCAAAATCGTAATATGTACACCACAATTTTAATTATAACAAAATAACTACGAAATTGGTAGTACATTTGACTGCAGAAATGATTTCTACACTCAAAAACACATCGGGTAGCCAAGTTTCTCTCGAACTCTGATTAGTTACCGAGATATCGTCGATTTTCTTACAGAATCTGCTACTGCGTGGTCCACTTTTTTGGAGTATTTTCCTATATGTGGGTCATCCATATTTTGCCGACCTTTACAACCCCATAACTTTTTTATTTATGAACCGATTCTTAAAATTCAAGAAGCATAATTCTTGGAGTTGAAAATTCTTTCTTAGGTACCAAAAAAAAAAGGGCAAAAAGTGAAAATTTAAATTTTCATTGGCATTGCTACTTCAGCAGCCAAAAAGACCAAGTTTTGCTCCTGAAAGTACTACAGGCGGGTGTCATTGTAAAAATGTAGGATACTTGTAGCCAGTCATTTCGTCACACAGTCATCTTGTCACACCCCAATAATGTGCAAGGAAATGACTTCACTTATAAGACTTTTACAGGCCTGTCTCTCCAAAATTAATGCTAGTAGAGTGTTGGAGGATCAGCCAAAAGTTGTTTTTTTTTAAGTTATATAAATTATTAATAATGTAAATTAAATCTTCGTCCAAACTGTTCCCCAGTTGAACATAATGTTTAAATAAGGCAAAAACAAAGTCCGGCAAAGAGTTAATTAAGGCTTTATGTTTAAAAGTAAGGAACTAGCTTTTTAGCAAAATCGCAGTACATTGGCCTACCGTACACTTTTATAAATTTATTTTTAAAAGAACTAATAACATGGTCTTGCCAATCACACCTTTCATCAATAAAGCCTAAAGACTTTGTTGATCTAACTAGAATAATTTCAATATTGTCAATACACACACACTGAACGTACATTTTATGAACGGTGTAGCTGATCAGGTAGGCAAGACGACTTGCACAGCCCCCCCCCTCCACACACAGCCCCAACCCTCCCCCAAAATTCGTGATTTACGGTTGCCATGACAACGAGCATTTGATATTTGCAAGTGACCGTCCCCATTCAACCACGTGGGTTTGGGGTGTGACGAGATGACTGTGATGTCTTGACTACACCAGCGTGATGAAATGACCGTGTGACGAAATGACTGATATTCACTATAATTTTACTAGATTCTAGATCTAGATCTAAATTAGATATAGATATAATAGAATAGATAGATTAGATCTAGATCTAGAATCTAGATCTAGATCTAGATCTCTACCTTCAAAATTTTAAATTACAACCACTAGGTCTGACCATGTCCATGCCATTGCATCAGATCGAGTTTTTGCAGCATCATAATTTGAATCACAATGAAACCTGTTTGTTAGTCAATTTTGTGGACTCTGAAGACTAGACTAGATCTAGACTTCTATATACCTAGATCAAGATCTAGAGTCTAGATCTAGATTCTAGATAATCTAGATCTAGATTTAGATCTAGATTCAAGTCATTTGTACTTTCTATGTGGAGTTAGAGCTCGACTGAGCAAGAAGAGTCTGGACTAACGGTTAACCATTTCGAAGTGACTATTCGGACTCGAGTCCAAATATGAAAAAATGTTATTCGGACTCTGATTCTTGTCCAGTATGACATCACTTCCGACTTCCTGTGACTCGTGACTCTGGCTTCCTATCCTGCCTCACTCGTGACTCACCTCAGGCTGGGTAGACGAGATCACTTCGGGCAAAATGGCCTTTTGTGCAGGAGCCGAGTTTTTATCTTATGATGAATTTGAGGCTGGCCTGAAAAGTTATAGCGCTTCCAATAAATGTTTATTTGTCAATAGGTCATCAGAAGCAATTAAAGATGGCTCGTTAGCGTGTGTCGGGGTCGGATGGGCGGCCTGCACACGTGTGGCTGTGTGCATGTCGGGGAGGGGGGGGGAGGGGGGTGGTGGGGGGTGGTGGGGGCACTATCGGTCTGGGCGTTGAATGTCGCATACGCGTCAGTCTTTTTTCTCCCGGCAATAATTATTATTACAATAATAAGCTAGTCTTGACGTAGATCTACGTAATGAATTGTGCGCTGGTCTATGGAATCAAAAGTTGCCGTAATGTTCAGCTCTACACAGCAACACAACTTTTTCTTGGTAAACAATCGAGATGACACCGGCTTGTGTATTTGAACGAATCGGTCTTTTTTTTTAAACAGCTCATAATATGCAGGTGCCAGGTGGTCTGCTAATCTTCAATTTTACCTTTTTCTACAACAAAGAAAGAGGGAAAAATGGGGGGGAAGGGGTGGGGCGTATCAATGAGGCGGCGGGCATCGGATCAGCAGAAAAGGTGTGGGGAAAACTAAAAAATGGCGGAAAATTGGAAGCACTGACATAGATCTAGAACGAAGACACTTCCTTCCTTTTTTTCGGACCCGAGTCCTGGATTCAGAATAACATTTTTTTCATATTCGGATATATGAAAGAATGTTATTCGGACTCGAGTCCGAATAAAGACGGCCTAACCATTTATTTAGATCTCTCTAGATCTAGATCACCAGATCTAGATTCTAGATCTAGATTCTAGATCTACATTAGATTTTAGATCTCTATAGTATAGTCTCTATAGATCTAGATTCTAGATCTAGACTAGATTTCTATATCTAGATCTAGATCTAGAGCTAGAATCCAGACATTCACGAGGAAAGAGAACTAAAGGAAGGACTTCCGTAACGAGCAACGACCCCATCAAACAATAAAGAAGAGGCCTAGACCTAACCCTAACCCTAACTTAGTCTAACCCTACCCCTGCCCTAGATCTACCCTTACCCCTTCCCCTACCCCAAGCCCTCATCAATCCCGAACTAAAAGAATGTGCTGCAGCCACTGTACAGAAACTGTAACTGTAACGTAAAGTGTTACATTACTGTTACTACTGTTGATTTGCTGAAATCAAATTCAGATTATAACTTATATTTATAAGACTTACCTGCTTTTGAAACCAGTTGCGAGATCATCAGTTTACGAAGCTGACCAAAAGCAACTGTGCTTGCCATCATAGGCCTAGAGAGTCTAGCCTAAGACTTAGAATCAAGAGTGAGGAGTGCAGGCCGAGCCTTGGGCTTGGGGGTCTTCTCAACTGATGACAAAGAAATCACAGAGGCAGCTAGAATCTAGATTCTATGTAGCAGATCGTTTGGAAGGTACAGAACAATGATGGCTTGTCGGTCACGAACTAGATCTAGATCTAGATCTATCACAAGTTCCAAATCTGATAGGCCTGGCCTACCGCTAGATCTTACTCAATAGAATCAACTCAGGCAAGAGAGAGGCAGCGAGATCACTGAATACTGAATAATAAAATGAAAAATAGATCTAAAATATGGAATGCACGCACGACAAGGAAAGGAAACAAAACAAAGTTAGATCAATAGAAGATTATGTTGCCAGCTTGATTTCAAGTTGAAAGCAAAATGGAAAGGTCGACTTTTAAGAAAAAAGAAATAGATCTAGATCTAGATCTATTAAAAAGTAGGCCCGTTATATTACATATAGTTGTTTGTTTTTATCCCATAGCATGCAAAACCGGTAAAATTGACAGCGGTTGGTGCACTTTCTGAACTTCGTCCTAGGCCTAGATTAGAAGTTTTAGTTTTGATAGGCCTAATGATTTTTTTGCTTTCGTAGCAACAACGACACCACGTTGTACATATGATGCACGCCTTCCGTACGCTTAAACGGCAAGCCTGCTTGCTAGCCTGTCAGTCTAGGCCCTAGCCGTCAATGCCCGTCATTTGGGCCTAAGTACGGCTTGCGTGCCAGTCTAACCGTCGGCATAAGGCCTACTTACGTTAGGTCCTAGCTAGGCCCTATTAACCGAATCCTGTTTTGACCCCGGTCGTTTCTCTGTATGAAGTTCTGGTGTCACTAAAATTATGACAAATGACGACAAAACTGTCAACCGTAGATTTCTAAAGCCTTAAATGTTTCTCTTAGAACCGGCTTCCCCTATTAATCAAAGAAGCAGTATCGCTCGATAGAATTACTCAGCACCCCGTAAAAATCAAATTATGGATGAAACTTTAACACCTTGCCATGATAATTATTGATGACGACGACATGCGTCATAAGTGACACCTGCTTTTTCGGTTGCGCTGGGGACCAGCGACCGCTGACGTCATTTTACAGGGGAACAATATTTTACCAAGGGGGAATTTACTCGTAAATCCGGTCCTTACGTTTCGCATATATAGCAGTCTGTCAAAATGATTTTTTGAGAAATACTGAAAGTTTCAAAGAGATCTTCGTACTAGAAAAGTATTCTAAAATATGAAGAATACAACCCCGGGTGCGTGCAAAATGAACCCAGGGCGTACGAGGGTTAACTCTAAATAAATTCTGCATCATCTGACAAAATGATATTTCATTTATGTTTAAGAAACGCCTGAGATATGGTCACTCAAAATTGACCTTAAAAAATCCGGCTTGGCAAAATTGTGCGAAATCACAGAATCGTTAAATTGTCTTCGTGCATGTAATGAGTTGCAATGTTAATAGAATGGAACGATTCATATCCAATGAATGGAGAATTCTTTTCTCTGCAATAAACAATATTTAATTTCGATAGTTTCAAACAAAACAGAAAACGAGTGAATCACAAATAGATTTACCGCGCAAAACCTGACAGTGACGGACACGTTTTTATTTTTTTTCTTCTAAAATGTTCTCTTTTCACCCCTTTCCTTTCCTCTAGACATGTTCTGTCGCCTGCTTTCATCTCCACTTTCTTGCTCAGACCCGGCCCACCCCCAGGTTGTATTCTTCACTTTAATTAGAATACAAGTACTTCTAGATCTAGTTCGAAGATCTCTATAAAACTTTCAGTATTTCTGAAAAATTCATTTTGACAGACTACTATGCAAAACGTACGGACCGGATTAACGAGTAAATTTCCTCTTTGGAAAGTGGTGGCACCGAGTTCCCCACGTTGTATGGATACGGTAGTAAAACACGATGTACCGGTACGGATAAGGTTAAATTGGTATGCTGCAGCCTGCATGAGTGAGTAGTGCAAGGATTTAACCCGATTATTGGGTGATTACATTTTAAAGTTTCTTTTGGACGCCACTGTATAATGCATGTGCGGGTGTGTTACGCCCAGTTGTCGATAAAAGGGATATAAATAAGTTGCCGCGAAAAGGGTTAATATGCAAAAGCCCAAGTTACTCTCAGCGATAAACCGTATCAGATTCTTCGTATACCGTAGTTCTGATTTATCAAACTCCATATTCTGTTTACACGTTCCAATATATCGCGTCCAATTCTCTTTAAGAGGGGGGGGGGGGGGGGGGGCGGCAGCTGAAGGCTATCTCGCTTATTAATAGATCAAATGTTTTAAATTTCACATATATAACAAGCAAAGTAAGGAGTCCTAAAATCCGCATTCAAATTTGAGGGGGGGGAAAAAAGTATGTTTCCATGGATAGGGAGGCCATTAGATTTGGTTGACATGTCTTACGTAATTAATCTTAATAGCGCACATATATATTTTCATGGAAATAAATTGTTTTTTGCATACATCTTGGCAAACTATAGATCCAGATCTTCAAATCTGAGTGATGAATTTTTCCAAAAACGTAGGCTACTAACAAAATGAATGCATTTTTTCCTGAGGTAGTATTCACGTTTGCAAAAATTCTGTGAAAATTCACACTCCAAACACAAACAACAAGAATCTATTCCCTACACCAAGAATTTGTCATACCAAGTTTTAGTATTACATCTTTTCTTCATTCTACGAAAATTTCATGAAGATTGGATGAAAAATGGTGGAGTTATTTTTTAAAAGTATATAGAAAAACCACGTTTCGAGAAAACCAGGCGATGAAGAAAAATATAAGATTTACTTTATGAGGAAATGGTAGTGACAAACATGCCCGGTATGGGAAGAAATAAGGCTTTAGGGGGTTCTTATGCGGTGAGATAGTTGTAAGAGATTCCCAAGAAGCTAAAAGTGCCTACAACTTAAAATCCGTAGTTTTGAGCCGAATCGGGACTTTCGAGGTGTAGCCATTCGTGGGATCTGTATGCCCCTAGAGAATAACAGTGTCTTTCGACTAGAGGTGTGCGAGTAACGAGTCCAGACTCGAGTACTCGAGTAATACATGCAGCGAGTCCAGACTCGAGTCACAAGTAAATTACTCGAGTAAGGACTCGAGTCTGGACTCGAGTCCAGACTCGAGTCTGTAGGGGGAAAAAACAGAAAAAAAGGAGAAAAATTTGTTTTTTTTTAAAGTTAAGAATAGATAAAAGAAACATTCTAATAAGCAATTTTTTAAACTGAAGGAAAAGAAACAACAAAAACAAAAAAATCCCTTCCCCCAAAGGAAAAAAACGAACCCCCCCCCCCCCCAGAAAAAAGCAAAAAGGAAACCACTGTTAAAAACCCACGATGACCAATCAAACTTCTTTTCTTTATGAAGTGCACTGTCTGAGGTTTACAATCCGTGTACATTTTATTCTTACTGTTGTAATAGAGAATTTTTTTATTTTTTTTTAAAGAAAAGAAAAGATAAGATAAAGACCACCTCTATTCTAGCTTAGTTGTTATACAGTTGTAAGCTTCTCACTCACCTGGGGTGAGAGAGCGAGCCTTTTGGCTATTCTCTTCCGGTGTGCGTTTACCGTGATACCCAGTGTAAACCACAGAATTCTAGATCTACACTTTTTAAAAATTGAATTCTGTGGTGTAAACAAACGTTCCAGTTCTCTAGTGTTAAAAACATGCAATTTTATCTGCGGGCATTGAAAGAGAGAGAGAGAGAGAGAGAGAGAGAGAGAGAGAGAGAGAGAGAGAGAGAGAGAGAGAGAGAGAGAGAGAGAGAGAGAGAGGAGTAGCCTAGATATTGCGAGAATTTCTGGGCAAAACAAAATGCCGATTAGGGTAGTTCGGCTCTATTCTAAAAGTGAAATAGCAGTAGCATCTTTGTAGACCGTCAAATTAGTTTTACTTTTGTGTTATAATATCATTTTTTTAAAGAAGGGGTTTGTCTATTTAATCATCCTCCCCGATAGGAAGTATTCAGAAATTAGGAAAAACCGGTTTTGTTTCACACCGGGTGAGAATAGCCAACGCTGGCAAGTCTCACCCGGGGTGAGAGGTCGATCACATTTTTATTCTCACCTGGGGTGAGAATAGCCACTTCCTAAGATAAAATAAAATAAATACGGTATAAACAGCATGTGTCTAGAATTGCCATAAGCCTACTCAAGCTCCCTCCAAGGAAGGCACTCTATTTTCTGTCCGATATTCAACAAAACTTTTTTTGAAACCCACTAAAATTCCCTTTTGGGATACTATTACTCGAGTAATTACTCGAGTCTTTAGAGCCGTGGGACTCGAGTAATTACTCGAGTAATTACTCGAGTCCAGAGCAGATACTCGAGTGTGGACTCGAATCTTAATATGCTGGACTCGCACACCTCTACTTTCGACCAAGTGACCATACTGTACATTGTACACTGCTGTACGCTGACAAAACGCCCCTTTCTTATTAACAACAGTTTCGAGAAATCAGCTTTTTTTCGTTTTTCATACAATATTTAAACTATTTTACACAGAACACCAACGGTTGATCTCGCACCCAGAAGAGAAATGCCATTCCCTGTGCTCCAGGGGTATTATAAGAAAACCGAAAATCGCTGATTCCTCAAAATTGCAGTGAACAAAAAAAAGGCGTTTTGTCAGAGTATTGCAGTACAGTGACTGTGCAGAGTTATAGTTCTAGCCCAGCAGCTTTGACGTCAGAAGCACATACAACGCACTGGGTGACCTTGATACTTTAGATTCAAAATTCAAAATTGACGGAACAGCGACTGCTGACGTCATTTTTACCGGGGAACAGCAGCTAGTATTTTACTATATTTCTTTGTTACTGTTGAACTTTGTGTAATCGCCTACTGTATCGAATACAATTAGACCAAACATGTTACATTTTGTCTCGATTTTCAGTAAGCTTAGCTAGAGCTCAGTCAAATCTCCCGCCCATCCGTTCATAAGGAGGAACAAGAAAGAGAGA